GAGGGAAAATCTGCTGACTTGTTGGCATGGATGTGGACAACAGGAGAAGAAATTTTTGTTGGTGAACAGGCTGGGCCTCCGACTAAACATGATTTAACAAAACTAGCCAATGATTCTTTTAAACTGTACAGAGAAATGAGGGACTGTCTAAATGTAAGAATTTTAAAGGCCATGGGCAAGGGTGATTTAAGATATAATGATAGAGCTGTTTTTGGAATATTTGGCTACCTTTTTGAAATTAAAATGCTCATAATGTGGAAAGATGGTGCATATATATATGAAGAATATGGATGTTTAAATATTGCATCTAACCTGGAACAGATTTCTATGATGAAAGAGGATATATTAAGATTACTGGAATTTATGGTAAGTTTCATTTTTATAAATATTTTTTAATTTATTTTTAATTGATTTATTTCAAATTAATTTTATTACAGATGATTATTAAAAATGAAGTAGAAAATACCATAACAGCAAAATTTAATAATGATACAGTACAAATATTAAAACGAAAATTTAATGAAATTATTCAAACGAAACCATCACCAGATAGTGCAGGTAAAGGAAAAAAAGCAAAAAAGGTGATAAGGAAATAAATAAAAATCCATATTAGAATATTACCTCCTTTAGAAAAATATTATTTGTTGTAAATTTGTTGTAAATAACTTTATTGAAAATAAAATAATAAATTGAGTTGTTTTTATTATACATTGAATTGAATATATAATTATTTATAAAACAAGTATTTCCCATTATCGAAAGATATATAAAAACTCAAAGTGATAAGAATAAATATCTTTTTAACTAATTTTATTTATTTTTATGATAAATTTGAATGAAATTCCTAGTGAGATAATAATCGTTATTCTTTTCATCATCTTAATCTTGTTACCAGATTGATTTTTTCTTTGTCTTTTATGTACTCTTTCAGCATAACACCCATATCAGTATCTGAGAAAAGTAATTTATTTCTTACTGGAATTATACTTCACGAATTATTATTATTATTACTACTACTATTAATATTATAATTATCATTATTACTATTATTACTACTACTACTATTATAATAATAATTATTATTGTTATTTTCACTCTAAACGATGAAGAATATGATGAAGAGGAAGGAAAACTACCCAAAGATGAAAATAAAGTAGTTGTTGGATATGACGTTAATACTTCGAGATTGAGAATGACGAAATGATGAATCATGTGAACGGTATTTGTTCAGATGAACCATAGGATTTCAATTTTGAATATTTTTCCACCATTCGAATTTTCTTCTTCTAATGTATCTTGACGAAATTGCATTCGAACATTTGGAACATTGGTTTTATGAATATCTATATAATAAAAATTTTGATAAAGTAATTTAATAAATAAATAGATATTGTATTATAAATACCGTTTTCCAAATTTATGGTCATCGCAAATCCACTTTGAACTACAGAATTACGTGCAAGTTCACTCATATCAGAAGAAGACAATTTTCCAAATCTAAAATAGTCAAATAATAATAAATAATCAAAACAATAAAATAATAATAAATAATGAATAATAAAATAATCCATACCTGAGCTGCCACACTATATTCTTCGATAAGAGATTCCTTAGTGTAATGAAAGGGAAGTGATCACCCGGCCTTAAACTTCTGTTTAATCATTTTTGAAAGAAAATTAAGAAAGGATTTCTTTCATAATTCAGGAATAACGCATTATTTGATAAAAGAGATATCGTTATTTTCCAATTTGTTTAAAGATAACAAAAGATATTGTAAGGCAGGAACTTCCAGAAAGTGATCGAAAGACAAGGGCATCCAATTAATTTCTCGGAATCGAATGATACATAAATATATAAATAAATATATATATATAAACAAC